ATCCTATCCTAAGGTCTTAGAAGTATTCCTCTTTCAGCTCTTACTTGGTTAGTGTAAATAAAGTTAATTCAAAAAGGTTTATATGAAGTGCCACATCAAGTAATTGTTAAACTTTCCAAGGATCATCTAAAATGTAACAAGTCTCCATGTTTACAAAATAAATGAATTAACAACAAACAAAAGAATACAAAGTATACGGGTATATATAAAACTAGGGTACTTTTTATGTACATTTTGTCACCCTAAAGTAACATATTACATAATTTATCTCCTCTATAATTATAGATTTTAAGGGAAAACAAATAGTACCCAGTACCCAAGTTCTTGCCTCCAATCCAACTACCTCTAATCTGTGCTGCATTCCAGTACCAGATAGATCTTCTTCTAGTAATACCATTTTCATCATATCCAGGATCCTGAGCTGTGCACTCACGGTCCCTTACAAATTGTCCTCAATGCTCTGGTAATCCTGATTCTCATTACTTCTCAGCAAAGAACCACTGAAGTTTAATTATACAGTGCGTTTGATCTTCAAAGCCATTTCATAAACATTATCTTATTTGATTTTCACAACCACCCTTTAAATGGAGCATTTTGCTAAAGGAAGAAACTCAGAAACAAAATGATGGAAGATCATAGGGTGGCAGAGATGGAATTAAAACACGGATCTTTCAGTTCCAAGACCACCACTCTTTGCATTCCGATCAGGCCAGTCTCTCCAAAACACTGTGGCCCCACCTCTATGACTTTGGTCTCTAGCTGGGACGTTCTCTCCACCTATCCAAATCTTACCAGTCCTCCAAGATGTCCATTTCAATGAAGACTTAGGCAACCATTCTACTCTAAATAAACCTCCCAAGTGAACTTCCCCAACCTTAATAATGTGCACTGTTCGTTTTGTCCCCGAATCCAACGGGCTGCTTCTTAAATCTTTGACCTGGACACGTGTTATTTATCTATATGGAATCTAAAGTTCTAGGAGAAAGAAATGGTTTTGGGCATCACCTCTGAATTGCCTAATGCATCTAATACAGTGTCAGTACATATAGAAATACTTCTCAAGAAATAGTGCTTGCTTTGAAACAGAAAAAGAGCATAGTATCTGAGACATAAAAGATTGATATAAGGTACAAAGGTAGGTACACCTAAGAATGAAGCAAAAAAGTTCCGCTGAAAAACAAAAAGGTAAAGAATGAAGAAGTATCCTGTAATGAAGCCAGCATAGCAAATCTGGTTTGAGGACTGCAGCAGCCCGGACTCCAAAGAAAAACTTGAAAGACTAATTGTTAACTACTTCAGGGAGAGGACAGTAGGGTTCACTTCAAAGCTGTGGAAGCGCTGCAAAAAATCTTTAGCAGCTATAAAGGGCATGAAATAAGTCTAGAGAAAAGAGTGGCGAGTACTCTCGCTAAAAAACCTCAATAAATCTATTAAGCTTTTCAGGTGAGTCTTGAGATGAGAGTCAGCTTCTCGGCCAAACTACTCTTTGCAGGACTCCACACAAAATTTAAATCAAGGCTGGGTCTTGCCGGTTCGCATACTAATCCAGTTCCCTTTCCTTCCCAGTCTTCCCATGCCTGCTCGATTCCATTAAAAATGGAAGCGTTTGGAAAACTTTGTCAGCAGATCCTAAATATGGCTTTCAAGTTCGGCGTAGATCTGACCTACCCTAGGTTCACTGAATCGGTGAGATGACAGATCTTGCTTTTCCTACTAACCACCACATGGACGCGGCAGCAAACCCAACCCCAACCTGTAGGGTGCTCCCGGCCGCGCGGCGCCCGCCACACCTCCCCTTCCAACTGCTCTGAACCCAAGGGGGAACGTTCGGGTCCAGGGTCGATCAGGGCGCCAGCACCGACAACTCATTGGCCAGCTCCTGGTACTGACAGGACATGAAGCCAATGAGAACGCGGTACCGGGCCGAGGCCGGGTAACGTGCGTAAGGAAGAGGAGCCTTCGAGAAGAGAACCAGGTCAAGGCAGGAAATTCGGGCTCTCGAAACGCAGGAAGTCATGCGAGCGGTGACTGCGAGTCAGTGGGAACAGAACTCACCCACGGCGACAGCGCCCATAACTGCATCCCCTAATGAGCCTGTGGGCTGGGCAGCCAGCTCCGTCTCCCTCCCGGTGACGGATAGAGAGCGACAGAGCCGAAGCCAGACTGACCCCTAGAAAGCAACAATTTCCGGTACTCGGCATTATGGGAGGTGGCTTAGCCCCAGGGGCCTGCGGCGCTGACGCTATTTCATTGGCGCTTGTGCGCGGTTCCCTCCGGAAGTTCAGATCCAGCCGCCTGGAAGAAATTGGCTGTCAGTTTTCCCCACTCTGGTGTAATTATGGGGTTGTTTAAATGTTTCGGAAGCATGAGTACCTGGTGGTGGTCAGAGTATTGGAATCTCCTGGATGGGTTACCTTACTCACATTACATCTAAAGGCTGGCTAGGAGGGTAAAATTTACATTTCACGCAGTTCTAATTCTGCCCAATAGCCTTCTAAATGTTGAGTACGTAAATTGTCTTGAACTAACCTTGCCCACGGAAGGTAAAATTTTCAAACATTTACTGTGTGTCCGTTAAAAATATGTAAGGGCCCAGTCCCCTGTGAAGTGAATTAAATGAACATAGGCTCGCTACCCTAGGGTTTAGTCTTCTACAGAAGACACAATAATAGCTTGGGAAAAAAAAGATGCAAGCGCCAGTAGAAACATAGGCAAGGAATATGAACAGGTAATTCACAACAAAAAGACAATTGGTCATAAGAGATAGGAAGAAATGTTCCTCATTAGTAATCAGATAAAGGTAGATTAAGTGGCATCCTAACCATTCAAACTGGCCAGAGTAGCAAGGATTACATTTAACTCTTTTGCTCTTTACTGCTGATAGAATTTTTTAAGCTTTCTTCACTCAGCACACACGCATTTTTTTTTTCTATTCTAAAACGCAGCCTTAGGGACATTGTACCACTTGCTTCCTCTGCCTAAAATGCTGCTCCCCATGATCTTCTGTGGTTGCTATTTTATTGTAATTCTGTTCACACCTTAAAAGTTACTTTCTCACAGAGAAATTGGGCAATCTAGGTTACATAGCCACCTGATCATTCACGTCACTTTATTTTTTGTCACTACGCAGCAAATTATCACTATCTAATATTTTCCCCTTATATTTACCTATATATTTCTTCCCCCCCAGCCCCCATACATACACAGAAACATGCAAATGTAAGCTCTTAGAGAGATGGGATATCTTTGTCTTGGTCGTGGCTATCTCTAGCATCCAGAGGTGTCTGGAACATAGTAAATGCTCAATAAATACTTATTGAAGGATAATCATTAGAAATGAAAAATTTTGCAAGAATGTTCATAGTAGCCTTACTCATTTTAGCCAGAAACTAGAAACAACCCATATTTTGAACAAAAGAATAGGAAAACTGTGGTATAGTCATAAAATGGGATTCTAAGCAATAAAAAGAAACTGTAAGGCACAAGCACATGGATCAATCTTAAAATATTATAGTGAAAGAAGACATACAAAAGTACCTACTATATAATTCCATGCATATGAACAGGCAAAACTAATTATGGCAGGAAAAAATCAGAACAGTGGTTGCCTCTTGGGGGTTCAGGTGGGGACTAACTGGGAAGGAGCATGAAGGAACTTTCTAGGATGCTAATAATGTTCTAATCTTAATAGGATTTGAGCTACACAGGTGTATGCATTTATCAAAACTCAGCAAATGTACATTTAAGATGTGCATTTCATTTTTACCTCAAAATAAAAAATCAAACATTTAATCTTAATGTTATGCATGCTGAAGTACTTAGGGAGAAGTATGCTAATGTCTGCAATTGCTTTGAAATGCATCAAAACAGATGGATTGATGAATAGATTAGACATATGACAAAGTTGGTAGAATAAAATGTTACGATAGTGTCTAGAATCATGATAGCACCAGTTTCTTAACCTCAGCACTATGGACAGTTTAAACCAGCAAATTCTTTGTTGTAGATGGATGTCTTCAGCATTGTAGAAAGTTGAGGAGCATCCCTAGACCCTATCCATTGGATGCCAGAAGCACCCTTCCAGTTGTGACAACTCAAAATGTCTTCAGTTATTACCAAATGTCCCCTGAGGAGCAAAATCGCCCCCTTTTTTTCTTCCCTGAGAGTCACTCCACTATTTCACTGTAAAATTCTCTCAACTTTACTGCATGCTTGAAATCTCTCATAAAAATTGGAAAAAGGGGGCACCTGCGTGGTTCAGTTGGTTAAGTGTCTGCCTTCAGTTAGGGTCATGATCCCAGGGTCGTGGGCTCCAGCTCCACATCGGGCTCCCTGCTCAGCGGGGAGCCTGCTTCTCCCTCTGCCTGCCGCTTCTCCCTCTGCCTGCCGCTTCCCCAGCTTGTGCTCTCTTTCTCTCTCAAATAAATAAATAAAATCTTAGAAAAAAGTTGGAGAAAAACATAGATTAAAAACATTAGATTGTGAAGGAAAAATCTAAATTACTCTCATGGTGGAGTCGCCTTCAAACTGTCCTTTTATTATCAGTGACAGATTTCTATTAAATAACAGTATTTCCTAAAGTCGCCACGACCACCATCCAGGCTCACCTCTCCCTAATGCCTTGCTATTTAGGGGCCAGAAGCATCCCTCTTGTGTGGGAAGATATCAGAAACCCAGAATAGGGAACCCCACTCCTACCTATTGAATCCCAAGCTACACATAACTGAACGATTCCTACGCATGTTTGAATTTGAGGAGCGTTACTTTAATGGACCATTCCTTGGCCCAGGAAACAGTGCCGTCTAAAACTTCTCCGTAACCCTGGCAGCAGCTGGGAAATGCCAATAGGGTGGAATTTGAACTTTGGGGCTGAGAAGCCCATAGCATTGCCAAGAATTCCAGCCGTTGAGCACCTGCCAGGACCAAACAGCCAGGACCAATGGGCTTCCGGGACCTCTGGCCCTGAGCGCGCGCATGCGCCAAGCGGAGAGGGCGTTGTCTCACTTCCCTATGCCGCCTCGCTGGAGTGGCTTGTAGGCTTCGGATTGCCTAGCACTGGACCGCTGAGGCTCCCTCCGGATGAGACCTGAGCTGTCCGCGCAGCCATAAAATCCAGGGTTTCAGCACCGAGGGGGTCCGTGGCTCCAGGTGAGTCTTCGGTCTACTGCTGCCCAAGTGAAACGGGAATTTCCTGTGTGGCAGAGGCCCGTTTCCGACTCCGGGAACTTGGCGACGCCGCGGCCCCGCCTCCCCGCGCGCTACACACTGCTCATTGGTTAGAGCCGGCTGTTCCTGACCCCGCCCGCAGTCGGGACCCTCCCTTCCCACACTCACCACCATCCCTAGGCCCAGGCAGTTGTTAGGGGCGATGGCGCCTGCGCACGAGGTATCGGTAGTGGCCTTCTGCAACTCGCCGGGGGTCAGGGCTTGTGCCTCCTGGACCCGCTCTCCTCTGTAAAATAAAAATCTGCGAGGAAAAAAAAAATGGTTCCACTTAGGAAACTCGGTTTTCATTCTACGTTCGTACAGAATTCACTGAAATCTTGAGTCCAAAAATTCTTTTCAAGGGTTTGGGTTTCTTTGCATTGAAATCTTATCTACGAAAATAATTGGACAAGTAAATAATATACCTGTAGCATCACTCCCATAGTTGTTCGCACACGGGTCGCTTGGCCCCAAACTTCTTTGCTGGCTCCATTTCATCTTCCAGACCTCCGAACTCAGTAGGACTTTCTCCCAATTTCACTCACTCAGTAAGTGACAAAACAAACATGCCTTTAAATATATGTTGGTTACTCCCAAAATACATCTCCAGCCGGATAGCTCATAAACTGCATAATTGTACATCCAGCTGTCTCCTAAACATCTCTATTGAGTAGATGTCTTAATAGGCACTTCATTACATAGTATTTCTAAAACTAGGCTTACAGTGTGCACCATCTTCCCTACCTAAATGCCAAATCCATCCTTCCAATCTCTTAATGCCTTGGATTCCTCTTACATATCACATATAATTTGTCAGTAAATCCTGTTGGTTCTACTCTCCATATGTCCAGAACTCGAAAGTTGCTCACCACCTGGACTACCACATCCTAATCCAAGCCACTGTCATCTCTCCCCGAGTCATTGTAGTACCTCCCTGGTCTTTCACGTTTCATCCTCATTCCCCTGCACATTTCACAGCATCAGATATGGGCCTCCCCATAAGTAAGTCAGACCCCTGCAATGGCCTTCCATATCAGACAGAATAAAATCTGAAGTCCTGGCCATGCCCTCTGAGTCCGAATATAAACTGCCCCACATTTCCTCTCTAATCTTGTCTCCAAAAATCTTGCTCCAGGCTTAGTCAGCTCCAGTACCTAGTCTAGCACTTCCCTTCCACAAGGCCTTTGAACTTGCTGTGTTCCTCTTGCCTAGGAAACACATTTTTTGTTGTGTTTTTTGAGATTTTTTGGTGATTTTTTTCATTGTTATAGTCGTAGTGCCAAGGACAATGCTTGACACACAATAGGTGCTCAAGACACATTTGTGGATGAATGATGAATAACAACAGCAACCACTTTTATAGTATTTACTCTGTTGCCAGGCACTGTTTGAAACACCTTCCACACATCATTTAATCCTCACAGCAACCTTATCATTCCCATTTTGGAGATGGGGAGACTGAGGCACAGAGAAAGTAAGCCACCTGCCTAAGGTCACACAGTTTTTAAGTGCATGTTGGCAGTCTAAGTAGCAGAGCACATATTTAAACCACTATGATGAAAATACAAAATAAATTCACTTCCTCTAATAACCATCTAATAATATCTAATAACTATCTAACCTCAACTTTAAAAAAAATACTAGAAAAGATATTAATGGAATTCCAGTGAGTTCAGGGATTTTGAATACTTACATGAATATTTTGTTTAATAACAGTAAATGCATAAGTTAGGATGTCAAATGAAAGTAGGATATAAAATTCTATGAAGTGACTGGTTAGTAAAGAAAACATAGATATACACTCAACTTTGAAATTTTAAAGAGACTGCTTAATGAAGGGACTGTTTACAGAGGTGTGGCCAGGCGTTACTGGCCCTAGGCCCGGACGATTTCCTGGAGCTGAGGAAGAAGGGCTGCCCACAAAAGCTGTGGTCTTAGGGCGTCATGGCCATTGTCAGAATGCCACCAAAACAGGAAAAGTGTGGTGAAGAAACACTCTGGCTTCTTTCTCCTCCCATCCTCCCCCTTCCTGCCAGAGCATTAGCTGAAACTAACCACAAGAAAGAAGAGTGGGGTGGTATAGGCTGCGGAGGTCAGTTTTTCAGCCTAGAGCGGGGAAAAGAAGGACCAAGAAGGTGTTTAGGGGACAAACAAGAAGTAACTAGCAGAAAATGGTCCAAATAATGAGCCCCTGAATTAGGCCTTTGTAGTCAAGGTTGTGAGGAAGGCACAGGCTCAGGTCTATACTGTTTTTCTTGTGCTTTCCTGCTTTACAGACCTTTCTTCTCTCCCCACGATGCTCCCTTCTCCACTTGTCTAAGTCTTAGCCTATCTTTAAGGCTCAAGTCAGGGTCACCTGACTGGCTCAGTTGGAAAAGCATGGAACTCTTGATCTCAGGGTCGTGAGTTCAAGCTCCACATTGGGTGTAGAGCTTACTTAAGTAAATAAAACTTAAAAAAAAATTGGAGAAAAGGTTCAACTCAGATCCTGTCTCCTTCCTTAAATCTTTCCTGATAGCCCATTTCATTGATCATGTACTCCTCTTAAACCCCACAATAATGCCTATACTAGTCATTTAACACTTAGCCTTTTTTATCTGCATTGTTCTGTATCTTACTAGATAATATGTACTGATCCTCAAACTAAATAGAAAGCTCCAGAAAGGAATGAAGGATGAAGCTCTAAATATAGTATTTATTAAATAAACAGTTACCCAAAGATGAGAAGGACTTCCATGAAGACGCCATTAACCAAGATAATGGTGTTTGATTTCACAGAGTAAATTCTCTTTGAGAAGGTAAGCCATATTTCCTTTGGAGCAATGGGACTGAGTTCTGTTTTTCTTTTCAGATGTGTAACTCCTTTTTTTCTGAATTCAGAAGCACTACATACGAATTCTAAAACTTCAAACAATATAGAAGCATACAAATTAGTCCTTCCCTTCTTCCTTCTACCCACATTTAACAAACTAATTTGGTGAATTCTCTTTCTGACTTTTTTCATGTATGTGTAATGATATAACAATGGATAATATCATACCTATTTATATTCTTCTACAATCTACTTTTTTTAGGTAATTGTATTATGAATATCAGTGTTAATATATATATTTTGATGGTCTCATAATATTCTGTTTAGATATATATTAACTAATCTATTGTTGAACATTTAGGTCATGTCTGATTTTTTTATTATAGATAATAAGCAGTGAACATCCTTATAAACACCTTTTTTATATACTGTCTGATTTTTTTCCTTAGATCGGCTTCATAGAATTAAATCAGCTTTCCTTATACTAACTTTTTCTTCTCTAACAATTACCAGATGTTAACCATCTTTGTGTGTGTGTGTGTGTGTGTGTGTGTGTGTGTGTGTGTGTGTTTGCACATGCATACTAATTCAATAAGTTAAAAATATTGTGTAGGGGGGACTTCCACTTTTGGAACAACAGAGTAGATGTGTCTTTCCTAATTTGTCCAGCTAAGTACAACTAAGGATCCCGGACACTATTTATAAAACAAACACAAAAGACTCTGAAAAGTGAAGGGGAATGCAGACCAACTAGGGACCTTGGGACCCAAGAAAGGACACAGTGGTGACTTTCTTGGTTATTCTTTTTTGCCTCAAATATCTGAGACTTGATTAAAGAAGCAGCAACCCAGAAATACCAAGGGTACAGACCAAACAAGTTGTAAAACCTCAAAAAACCCTGCTCTCTAGCTAAAGTACCAAGAAATGTGCAGCTGAGCAAGATGGAAAACATTTAGATAATAAATGCTCTATACCAGGCAAATACTAAAGAAAACACTGTGGCCTCTCCCTACCACACCAGCAAAGGGAGCCTAGATTCCAACTTCACTGAGCTGTAATAAGTACTTCAATGCCCACTCCTTGTCAGGATGTATCAAAAAAATCTGATTAGGGATCTAGGACTTTCCTCTCTGCCTGGTGATAATGAGGACCTTACCAGAGTTTAGTGTCAGACCCATGTCAGACCACATGGGGAGCCTGTACTTCCACTCTGATGCAGCAATAACAAGGCATCCCTCCTTCACCCTGCTGGAATGATGTCCAAGAAGTCTGGTGGGGAGTCCAACTTTCACCAACACCTAGCGTTAGCAAAGTGGCCCGTCAACATGGTGTTAGTGGAGGCCACATGGGTAACAGTAAGGAGGCTCTCCCACCCCTCCTGGGCATAAGCCCCCCTTTTTTTCTCCTTTCTGAAGCAGGATGTCAAAAAAAGTATCAGAAAAAGTATGCTAAAATGGAAGATTTGAGTAATATTCAGAGTCTTAGAATACCTAAAATGTCCAGATTTCAATAAAAAAAATCAATCATACCAAAAACAAGGAAAATCTCAAACTACATGAAAAAGATGATAAAATAGATGCCGATTCCAGGATGACAGAGTTATCTGACAAAGATTTTATTTTTTTAATTTTATTTTTAAGTAATCACTACACCCAGTGTGGGCCTTGAACTCATGACCCTGAGATCAGGAGTTGCATGCTTCCTACTGAGCCAGCCAGGTGCCCCTGACAAAGATTTTAAAACACATATCGTAGAGGCACCTGTCTGGCTCAGTCAGAGGAGCATGTGATTCTTGCTTACACATTGGGTGTAGAGATTACTTAAATAAATAAAACTTAAAAAAAAATACCTATCTTAAAAAATTTTCAGTGAGCAATTATAAACATACTTCAAGCAAATAAAAAATAACGGGTCCCAGTAAAGAAATAGAGGATGTGAAGAAGAATCAAATGGAAATGATAGAACTGAAAATGCAATAACCAAAATTAAAAACACAGAAGATAGACTCAACAACAGAAGAAAGGGGACAGAGGAAAGGATCGGTTAACTGGAAGATACAATAGAAATTATCCAGTCTGAACAGTGGAGAGAAATAGAGCAAAAATAAATGAACAGAGTTTTAAGAACGTATGGGACTATAACAAAAGATCTAACATGTCATTCCAGAAGGAGAAAGAGGGGGGGAGGGCAGAGCTGAAAAAAGTACTTGAAGAAATGATGGTTGAAATTTTCCCAAATTTGTCAAAAGGCATAAACAGATTCAAGAAATTAAATGAATGTCAAGCACAAAAAAACTCAAAGAAATTCATATAGAGACACATCATAGTCAACCCTATGAAAACTACAGAGAAAGAAAAGATCTTGAAGGCAAGCAAGAAATGAACCTTTGCTATAAGGTTCAAATAAGAGAGTATTTCTCATCAGAAACTATGGGGCCAAAATGAAGAGGAATGATATTTTTCAAGTGCTGAAAATAAAGAATTAACAACCCAGAATGTCATATCCAGTGAAAATATCGTTAGGAATGAAGGGGAAATCAAGACTTTCTAAACTTTATTTTATTTATTTATTTATTTTTGAGAGACAGAGCAAGCACAAGCAGGGGAGGGGCAGAGGGAAAAGCAGACTCCCCACTGAGCAGAAGCCCAATGCAGGACTCAGTCCAGGACCTTGGGATCATGACCTTATCCAAAGGCAGACGCTTAACTGACTGAGCCACCCAGGTGCCCCAAGAAATTCTAACATGAAGGAAGATTAAGAGAATTTGTCACCAGCAGACCTACCCTAAAAAAAAAAAAACGGCTCAAGGAAGTTCTTAAAATGGAAAAGAAACAATAAAGAAATTATCATGGAAGAAATACAGAGAAAGCAAAAGTATGGGCAAATAAAATGAACTTCCCTTCTCTTCTGTCTTAATTATATTTGATGGCTGAAGCAAAAATTATAACACTCTTGTGGTTCTAAATATATATAGAAGAAAATTTTAAGATCACTCTATTACAAATGCAGGAAGGTAAAGGTACATAAAGTTTCTATATGTCACTCAAACTGTTTAAATAAGACACTGGGAGACTGTGATGTTTTATATACGTGTGTGTAGAGTAACCACTAAAAGAGCTATAAAAAGAAATACGTGCAGAAACGTTACAGATTAACCAAAATGTGGAATTCCAAAATATTTTCTTTTTTTTTTTTTTAAAGATTTTATTTATTTATTAGAGAGAGAATGAGAGACAGCATGAGAGGGAGAAGAGTCAGAGGGAGAAGCAGACTCCCTGCTGAGCGGGGAGCCCGACGTGGGACTCGATCCCGGGACTCCAGGATCATGACCTGAGCCGAAGGCAGTCGCTTAACCAACTGAGCCACCCGGGCGCCCTCCAAAATATTTTCTACCTGCAAAAGGCAGGGAAAAGAAAACAAAGAAATGGAAAACATAGAAAAAAACAAAATGAAATAGGTACTTAAGACCAAACATATCAATAATCGTGTTAAATGTAAGTTTTCTAAATACAGTAATTAAAAGACAGAGATTGCCCCCCTACATACACAAACACAGAATTACCTGTTCTGAAATATCAATAGTGCCAAGATTGAGAAATCCTAAACTGGAGTCTAGTTAAGTCTAGACTCTAGACTTTAAACAAATTCATGTTTTCTACTGCACATTACACTGCTGCTTTCTAGGGTACCTGGTGCTATTTCCTGAGCCTGCCCGAAGTTCTGCAGCACCCCTACCCACCTGACCAAGCAGTTAATAGAGGGAAGGAAGCTGAAATATAAGTTAGTTATAATTCATTTACCCCTTTCACCTTCCAAACTTTTGTTGATAGCTTTTGTTATTTCCTTTCCCTTTGTCTTTGAGAATTTATCCTTTTATTCTCATTTTATTTTTTTTTTAAGATTTTATTTATTTATTTGACAGAGACACAGCGAGAGCAGGAACACAAGCAGGGGGAGTGGGAGAGAGAGAAGCAGGTCTCCTGCTGAGCAGGGAGCCTGATGTGGGACTCGATCCCAGGACCCTGGGATCATGACCTGAGCCGAAGGCAGACGCTTAACGACTGAGCCACCCAGGCGCCCCTTTTATTCTCATTTTAGTGGGGTCACAGAGAAAGGGAAATATTTATACAAGTGCTCAGCCTCCATGTTTTATCAGAAGTCCCTACACTTTTTCTTGCAAATGAAATTAATTTATCTAAAAAAAAATCCTATTTGATTAGCATCTTGGTGAACTTTATAACCCTGGAATGGTGAAGACTTTTCTAGCAAAGATTCAAAGTCCAGAAGCTTTGAAAGCAGAAATTGATGAATATGCCTACTTAAAAACTCATGAATGGTACACACAGACAAAAAAACACCATAAAAAGACTATGTATTAAGAATTTTTTTAAAGAGTTTGCAGGGGGCAGGGAACCTGGGTGGCTCCGTCCATTGGGTATCTGCCTTCAGCTCAGGTCATGGTCTCAGGGTCCTGGGATCAAGCTCCGAGTTGGGCTCCCTGCTCAGTGGGGAGTCTGCTTCTCCCTTTCCCTCTCCCTTTCCCCCCTCCCCCATCCGACTCATGTGCCCTCCCTCTCTCTCAAATAAATAAATAAATAAAATCTTTTGAAAAATTAATAAAAATAAAAGGTGAGGGGACTATGTAAAAACTTACATTTCAGTATGGCAACTTTTGGAAGGCAACCTGGCAATATCTACCAAAATCTAAAATGTTATACTTATTGACCCAACAAGCCACCTCTACAAACTTATCCTTGAGAATACAGTATTAACAGTTTGCCAAACTGTATCTATAAAAAGAACTTCTATTAAAGAAATGTTCATAATAGCAAAAGTATGGAAACAACCCAACTGCCCATCAATAGGCAAAGAATGCAATAAATTATGACATATCAACAAGATTCAGTATGACAGTCAACCACTAGAAAGAATGAGATAGATCACTATGTACTGACAGTGAATATGTCTTTGACATATATTTGGAGGGGAAGAAGTGGAGAAAAAAGATATGTTTATATGATCCCTATGGATACATTTTGATTATGTATCTCACTCTTTACATATCCTTAAACATTATACCACCATATATTTTCCATTTATGTATGTCTCTAATTCCTAAAATATTTTCTGTTTCTGTAACACCAAAACTCTTCACCTTGGATGGGAGATTTAGGCAGGTAGGGGAAGAAATCACCAGCTGAAGCTATATCTTCATTTTTTAACCTTCTACCACTTGAATTTTATAACCTAGTACTTTTTTTTTTTTTAATGTTAACAGAGGGTACTTGAGCTGTGACGTTGTTAGCTTATTTTCTCTTCTTCACATTCTGCTTTTTAAAAACTAATAAACACTAATATTAAGAGAAAAATATTAACCATCCACAAAACTAACTCTGTTACTTATTCTGTTCATTCTAGGTTTCCAAAGTAACCAGTCATATAGCCTCTCTCCTGGCTTTTATCATTGATAGGGCTTTTGACTATGTAATTAGTTTACTTAAGTGAAATTGTTCACTGTGGTAGCTCAAGATTCCAGGTCAACTATCCAGACACAGAGGAATTTGATGCCTGGTTATTATTAGAGTTTTATGGCTTTCACTGGGTTGGCCCATAGTTTGGATCCTTAGTATATTACATCTGTTTAAATTTCACATTTTATGAAGAAATCGAACACACTTTCAATAAGGACCTATATTGATCTATTGAATTCTCCCAAAATTGCATTTGTAAATTATTTCTCTTATCCTTACCTCCTTAGAAATTTACAGATATCCAAAAATGATTGAGATTGAACAGGCAGAGGCCCAGCTCTCTGAGTTAGACCTGCTAGCCAGTATGTTCCCTGGTGAGAACGAGCTCATTGTGAATGACCAGCTGGCTTTAGCAGAACTGAAAGATTGTATTGAAAAGAGGACGATGGAGGGACGATCTTCGAAAGTTTACTTTACTATCAATGTGAACCTGGATGTATCTGAGGAAGCAATGGTAATTCAGTTTGCTTTTTGAAGAACTGAAAGCCTGTCAAGAATTAAAACACCACTTAGGGCATTTTCTTCTTCTGTTTTTTTAATCAGGTGATGTTTTCTCTGGCTTGTATTCTTCCCTTTAAATACCCTGAAGTTCTGCCTGAAATTATTGTCAGGTATGTTACAGGAATTGGCCAACATCAAAGGTTAAAATTAACCTGAGAATAAAAGCAATGCTTAAGTTTTCTATTCCAAAAAATTGATTTAATTTTTATATTCCATATCTTTTCCATCAGATCAGTATCACTTAGTAGATCCCAGCAGACTCAGCTAAACACAGATCTGACCGAATACCTGCAAAAGAATTGTCTCGGAGATGTCTGTATATTGAATGCCACAGAATGGGTTAGAGAACATGCTTCTGGCTATATCAGCAGAGACACCACACCTTCCCCTGCTCCAGGAAGTACATTCCAGCCAGTTGATCTCATTCTCACAAGACTGTGGATCTACAGCCATCACATCTACAACAAGTGTAAAAGAAAGAATATTCTAGAGTGGGCAAAGGAGCTTTCCCTATCTGGATTTAGCATGCCAGGGAAACCTGGTGTTGTTTGTGTGGAAGGCCCACAAAGTGCCTGTGAAGAATTCTGGTCAAGGTTTGCTTTCACAAATGTTGTATGCTGTGTCAATAATTTTAGTAGTAAACAAGATACTAGAGATGTGGAAATTAGTATGTCCCTGGGGTTGTACCTTAGGGGATTCGGTCTCAAGTCAGTGGATAAACCAGAACTCACATATGATCAGCGTCACCCCCTTCCCTGACATGGTGCACATAGATGTTCTGTATATAGCTGTTTAATTGAGCCCTGTCCAAGATGTTATGATCCCCTCCATTTCCATGGATCGGATTCTTCTTAGTGATGTGATAAGCTGTGCGTACCCTGTGAAACAAACGGGTTTCTAATCTTCTCATTTCTGTACTGACATCCTGAATAAGTTTCTAAGAAGTCCCTTTGGGAGTTTGAGATACAGTAATTTCCACATTTCTAAAATGTTGATATGAGGCAGTAGCAATAAATGAGTTTGGAGATAGGATCATGACCAGCATCATATTGAATTAAAATAAATCCCTGTGAGATAAAAGTAAATTTCTTTACTTCTGGGAAAAGGCATTGAAAAGTCTGTTTTATAACTTCTATTTTCAATGCTCTAGAAGACAAAACACATTTTCAAAATGTCTACTTTGAAAATTTCTTTTCAGACTCAGAAAATTAAACTGGAAGAGAATTTTAATTCGCCATCGAGAAGACATTCCTTTTGATGGTACAAATGACAAAATAGAAAGACGAAGAAAATTTTCAGGTTTTGAAGAAAAAGTGTTCAATGTTAATGGAGCCAGAGGAAACCATATGGACTTTGGTCAGCTGTATCAGTTTTTAAATGCCAAAGGATGTGCGGATGTTTTCCAGATGTTCTTTGGTGTGGAAGGACAGTGACTGGGCAAAGGAGTATTGAAAGAGTTTTGTCACTGTTGGCCTTTTGATTTTTCCCCCAATCTTTCTTGAAAGATGAAGTAATTTGGGGCGCCTGGGTGGCTTAGTCGGTTAAGCATCTGACTTTGGCTCAGGTCATAATCTCCAGGTCCTGGGATGGCGCACTGCTGTCAGGCTTCTGCTCCCTCTGTCCCTCCCCCCACTCATGTGCTCTCTTTCAATCTCTCCCTCTCAAATGAATAAATAAAATCTTTTAAAAATAAATAAATTTAAAAAATAAAAATGTATTTAAGATATCAAAAGAGAGAAGAAGAAGTCAGATGGTCCTGCCTGCACTGTATACTGTAAAAGACACAATAAAAGCTATAAGAGGGGAGGGGTGCCTGGGTGGCTCAGTCATTAAGCGTCTGCCTTTGGCTCAGGTCACGATCCCAGGGTCCTGGGATCGAGCCCCGCATCAGGCTCTCTGCTCTTTGGGAAGCCTGCTTCTCCCTCTCCCACTGCCCCTGCTTGTGTTCCCTCTCTCACTATGTCTCTGTCAAATAAATAAAATCTTAAAAAAAAAAAAAAGCTATAAGAGGGGAGCCTGAGTGGCTCAGTCTGTTAAGCGTCCAACTCTTGATTGTGGCTCAGGTCATAGTCTCACAGTGGTGGGATCCCGTCTCAGCGGGCTCTGAGCTTGGCAACGAGTCTGCTTGGGATTCCCTCTCTCCCTCTCCATCTGTCCCTCCTCTCTCTCTCAAATAAATAAATCTAAAAAAAAACTATAAGCGGGCGCCTGGGTGGCTCAGTTGGTTAAGCGACTGCCTTCAGCTCAGGTCATGATCCTGGAGTCCCGGGATCGAGTGCCGCATCGGGCTCCCTGCTCAGCGGGGAGTCTGCTTCTCCCTCTGACCCTCTTCCCTCTCATTCTCTCTATCTCTCATTCTCCCTCTCGCAAATAAATAAATAAAATCTTTAAAAAAAATAAAAATAAATAAAAATAAAATAAAAATAAAAAAAACTATAAGAAACTGTAGTTAAGGACCCCTGGGTGGCTCAGTCTGTTAAGCATCTGCCTTCAGCTCAGGTCATGATCCCAAGGTCCCGGTATCAAGCCCCACATCTCTCTCTGCCCACACCCCCCCAGCTTGTGTTCTCTCTTGCTCACTCTCAAATAAATAAAATGTTTAAAAAAAGGAAAAGAAACCAGTTGAATGTTAGGAAACATAGCTTTCGGGCGCCTGGGTGGCTCAGTTGGTTAGGCAACTGCCTTCGGCTCAGGTCATGATCCCGGAGTCCCGGGATCCAGTCCCGCTTCGGGCTCCCTGCTCAGCAGCGAGTCTGCTTCTCCCTCTGACCTTCTCCCCTCTCATGCTGTTTCTCTCTCTCTCTCTCTCAAATAAATAAATAAAACCTTTAAAAAAAAAAAAGGAAACATAGCTTTCTGAGATTATTACCAATGATTACATATTTGATATATAAACATCCCTGTTAGGTAAAATTGACCAGTATGATTGCACATACATTTATTCCACAATGACAATCTGTCAATGTATTAATTTGATATATATCTTGAACTGTAATCATCTACAAAGAAATAATAATAAATTCTGAAAAGAAACTATTAGTCCCAAATCAAACTATGGTTAAAAATTAAAAGGATTATTAGAAAACAAAAGTATGGGCAGGAAACAGTGGTCATATGTCCACTTTTATTTGTAAAAGTAATTCCTGTATAAACTTTTTTTAAAGATTTTATTTATTTGAGAGAGAGAGAGAGCGCGCGTGCACCAGCAGGGGGGAGGGGCAGAGGGAGAGGCCGACTCCCTGCTGAGCAGGGAGCCCAATGTGGGACTCCAGGATCATGACCGGAGTCAAAGGCAGATGCTTAACCAACTGAGCCACCCAGGTGCCCCAAACACAACTTAAGTAAAATTTTTAAAAATATTGTAAATTGGGGGCGCCTGGGTGGCTCAGTCGTTGGGCGTCTGCCTTCCGCTCAGGTCATGATCCGGGGTCCTGGGATCGAGCCCCGCATTGGGCTCCCTGCTCAGCGGGAGGCCTGCTTCTCTCTCCTCCACTCTCCCTGTCTGTGTTCCCTCTTGCTGTGTCTCTCTGTGTCAAATAAATAAAATCTTTAAATAAGTATATATTGTAAATTGTAAAATTAATCCCATAAATCCAAACTAGTTGAACTTGGACTAACAAAGTCAAAAGCCACTGTTGTCATTTGCACGTTAATTTGATAAACTGAATTTTATTTTATTTTTTTTTAAATGCAACATACAAACTTTATTTAACAAAAGCAACAGGTAAAGTCAAACAGGCACTTATATTAAGAGAAAAACCAACTAGAAGAAATTTTATCTTAAACACCTTACAGTAACCTATTTGCAGTTGCATTTACTGAGCTCTGTTGCTGTGAAGAATACAGCTCATGCACAGGTATGGATCAACAATTTGTACATTTTTCAAGTATTCACTGAATACTACCTTATATACACATATACATTAAATTTGAAAAAGATTTAATTGACGATCCCCAGATAGACTTCATTTTTGTTGCTCTTTTGGAAGAGGTCGTCTAAAGAGAAGAATATGTGGTTCTGGCTCATGAATCATGTAATGAACCCAGCCTAGACTCTGTTGGACACCAAGTCTCCTCCACTCCTCTTCAGACATCAGATGGGTTTTCGGGACTTGTTTGGAAAGTTCTCTGGGTAACATGACATGCCGGTACTCGTAGTGCTCGTCGAAGTACTTGTCCGAGTAGTAGATCTGCTTGTGGGCCATCCTGCGGGCGGGCGGGAGCGACGGGGCGCAAGGAGCGGGCGCGGCGGGCCACACGTCCGGGCCTGGCCAGAGCAACGGCTCGACTCTTGATAAACTGAATTTTAAAACAAAATTGCATCTGCTGTGCAGAACTGATGATCACTTTGAGCACTAATATAAAAACTGTTACACAGGTTGTTTTTTTTTTAGAAAGCTATATAATAAGATATTAGAGAAACCCAACAGAATATATCGTTTGTGGACCTCCATAAAGACTGCAAGGCAGCTACGAGTTTATGGCATTTAAGGACTGATGCTCTTGGTACTTCCCTACCCCCTGCCACGATTACAACTATTTAGAACCATCTGAGCCCATAAAAATTCCGCAAAGGGGCACTGTGAGCCTTCTGGTTAAGCACAATTTAGCAATCTGCTCCCATCAGGACGGGGGAGGGATGTAGGCCTTAATATCTTTTGCCATCCCCCCGCCCCCATCAAAGGCAGAACCCTTCAAGGAGCAGAGCAGCGATAGGGAAGATTTCAGCTCAGCATGAAAGGGGAGTGACCGGCTACCTGCTGACACCAGCTCCCCAGAAGCTTTCAAGTGCTCCGGAGCTTTGACTGACGCTTTGGCCTTCCCCAGCCCCCGCAGCTTGAGCGCACGCTAGGGCTCCCACCGGGCGCAGCTGGGAGGGACCTAACGAGGCTTAGCGCAGGTAGCCACCGACTAGCCCTGGAACTACTAGCCCGGGTTGGGGGCGTTGTGAATATGGGAGCAGGTGGGCAGAGGCTTTTGACCCGGGGCTCTAGCCCTAGACTGCGGACTTGCCCTTCAAGTAGGGATCTCTCAGCTGGACGGGTGTGGCTGTGCTGCTGGATGGCCTTTTTCTTTTTTTTTTTTTTAACTGCTCATTATCTTCTGGGGAAAAGGCCTCGATGTGCATTCTTTTGGGATTTCCCAGATGCTGCTATAGCGGGAGAATTGGTGGAATTCTGCTCCCTGAAGTTCTGGTGGTGCAGTCCAGGACCGCGTGTCTCCAGATTTTAACCAGGGAGTTATCTAAATGGAGGCTTATTTTTTCCTTCCCGGGGCATTTGGCGTTTTGGATTTTGTGAATCTCTTCTTTCTCCACCCACCCCCATACGTATGTAATACATTTTTATTAGAAAAGATGATTATTATAGGAAATGTAGAACTAACTGGATTTAAAACCCACCCACAAATCCACCCCTAAGAAGATAATATTAAATTTTGGTTTTACGTTTTATTTTCTAGTATATTATTTTTACTTATGGGTATATGTGATATTAAGTGATATGTGATATTCAGTTGAACGAATGCAGCATTATAGTTAGTTCTGGAAATTCTTACTCATTTCAGTTTTGTTATTAAAGATATCAAGTACCTGTATTTGTCCTAAGAGTCCTTTTTATGAATCTCCTTGAAAATTAAACACTGTTCACAAGAGGAACAAAACTATAAATGACAAAAGACTCAAAAATAGACATGACATGATTAAAGATCTGATGAGAGTTCATTATAATGTAGCTGACAAGGAAATCTGGTTATTTCTCTGACACACAACACCTCAATAATCAGAATATTGAGTGATGACCTTATACCAGAAGGTAACATACCAAATAAACATGCCTAATTGGTCAAAGAGACTTCATTTATGATTTAAATCTTGGGGAAGTTTGTTAAAACCTTAGAAAGTTTTAAAGCACTGGCCTAAGTAGGATTATAGATCGTTAAAGACCTGATAAAGACAAAACATAGACACTGGTTTTCCAGGCAGACAAAAGAAAAAAACCCTTTGTTTACATTTTTCTTACCAAGAGCAGACCAACAATCTAAGAAAATTTAGTGTTTTTAAGAGAAAGAAAGCACGATTTCAATCTTATACAAGTGTACTTCTAAAATCCACTCATTTTGGGGCACCTGGGTGGCTCAGTTGGTTAAGCGACTGCCTTCGGCTCAGGTCGTGATCCCAGGGTCCTGGAATCGAGCCCTGCATCTGGCCCCTTGCTCAGCAGAGAGCCTGCTTCTCTCTTTCCCTCTGCCTGCCTGCCACTCCCCCTGCTTGTGCTCTCTCTCCCTCTTTCTCTCTGTGTCAAATAAATAAATAAAATCTTTTAAATAAATAAATACATAATACATACATACATACATAAAATCCATTCATTTCAGCTTTAGTCCACCCTGATGGCATATAAAATTCCTTTACAAAGATTTCCTTTCACAAACCTTCTACAGCTTTCTTTTGCATTCAGATTTTGTCTCAAGCCATTTTTCACCAAACAACTGGTATCATTTTAAGACAAAATTTCTTTCTTTTACCTTCAACAAAAATGTATTTCCATTCATTATATCTTTTATTAAGATTGATTTTATTTAT